AGTTTGCTACACAAAGAAAAACATGTTGCTATTTACCTGGTCTAATAAAAGATAGACATCAGTCAAGTTTCCTGCATTGGGGGAAATCCAGACTGCGCCAGCTCTCCCCCTTCGCCCTCACCACCCTGGTGCGGAGCTGTAGCTCATTCATATTCATTGTAATGTGCCTGCCTCTCCTCTTGTCCCATGGTTGGGCTAACATCAATCCCAGCTGCCTCACGTGCAGTGCCTGCTTCTCCCCAAAGGGCATCTGGGTGAGCAGCTCCCCCACTGTCTCCCATGGAGCAGGGTTAGGCCGTGGACTCACATCGGTGTGCCGGGAGAACGGTGGGTTGTGGAGCAACGCTTGGGTTTTGAGCCCAGCCTGCTCCTGCTAAATGGGCTGAAGAACTTTGAATGAGAAGGAAACCGTCTAATGCATTAGAGTTCACCTTGCCGATTGCTTTAATGCAAGATGTGATGAGAGTTACAGCTTGAGGCCACAAAATGCTGGGTGGGAAGCAGGATGGCTATAGTCAGCCTAATCTCGGAACAAACCACTGGGGAAAAAGTGGGGGGGAGCCTCTTTTAGATGAAGAAAATGCAAGATGGGAAGTTCCACGGGACACCAAAAGATGTCCCTCAGGTGTTGCATCGAACTGATGCCACAGGGACAACAGTATAACTAGTTATAATTCCTACCAGAGATTGAAGCTGGGCTGTGTGACAGGGCAGCTACTTCCTTTCTGCTACTTCCCCAGAGGCCTTCTAAACTGCTAGCCAGTACTGGGAGAAACAAAGATGTGGGGCTGGGGGTGTTTTATTGGCTGGATATCCACACACCGGGGAGTTAGGGCTGGAGAAACAGGGACCCACCAGTGGCTCTTTTAAGGGCAAGGGTTGGCTATTCTGCCCATGAAGATGATGGTGTTAAGGGCAGCTTCCCGGATGAAGAGCAGGAAGGGCCTGTTAGCATTGAAGACCACTTTGTTCAAGGGAAATGAACGGCCTGAGATGACAACTGCAGTAACCGCTGCTGCCTCGCTGCCTTCCTCATTCACCTGCCAATCAGAGGGGAGACTGGATTAAAAACGGTCTTCTCTCATACCAGGTAGACCTGCACCATACAGGCACCCTGTTTCCAAGTGGGAACTCAGTACCCCTGGGAGCCTGGCAATCCCATTCCTTCAACTGGCTGGGAGCATTCACACGTCCATGAAACCTACATTCCCCCATGGAGCAAGGGCGGCTTTTGCTGCAGAACTCCAAGCCCTGCTGCCTGGGCACTGCTCAGCCACAACCCAGCCAGTGCATTTAAAGAAGGATTCATTAAGTTGGTTTAAAAGCGTTTTTTTCCATTGTCTTACGGACCTGAAGCACAAGGACATAAAAGCATCATGTCACTTTCTGAATATGCTGTTACACAGCTCTTTACACTGAGGGGCTGATGGCTCCATACCTACAAAGTTAAATGTATCCTCATCCAAGCTCTGACGCATCTGTAGAGTTTGATTTGCAAGGCCATACGTGCACGCATTTACGTGACTCAGAATAGTGTGTGCGTGCCTAAGGCCCCTGACGGGCATTAAAGTACAGATGCAATGGGATCTGGTGTGGGGTCCCAAGGATCTCCCTTCCCATGCCACACATGCATGGCAGGAGGCACAATTGTGGAATCCTGCATTGATCCCATTGTGCCATTTTGCTGGTGCAGGGGGAACCTGATCCCAGGTTCCCCCTGTACTGACAAGTAGCAACCTTGGCTCCCAGTCATGGGAGTGGACCATGAGCTGCTGCCTCTGACAGCCCTATCAGGTGATTGGAGTTCCCAACTGGGGGGTCCTGATCAGCTGACCAGGGTTGTTGTCATCCAGGGATCACATGGTGCACCCCCTAGTTGGGAACCCCAATCATCTGAGGGGCCTCCCAGCCTTTGGAACACATGGGAGTCTTGAAAAGCTCCCATGTGCTCCAGAGGTTGGGCACAGGTCACACATTCAATTAAAGATACGATAAGAACCAGCCACAACAAAATGCATATTTTGTGTAATAACTCTGCATCTTATTCTTCATTTTATTATGCCATTAACTAATTGATTGAATGTGTAGCTGACCCACTAAAGACATGATTGACCAGTTAGTTATGTGTTAAGTGTAACATCTGTCAGGGGCCTGAAACTCACCTCCCCCCACTCCCCTGTCAGCAATTTGTTGTTGTTGCCAATATGCTAACAATCTTCCATCAATAGCAAGAGGGACTAGGGGCCAGATCCAGTAAAGGACTTAGGCATTGCAACATCTAACACCTAAGCACCTAGCCGCAGAGAGGAACCACATGTGTGTTTCAGGCCTGTAGCCCCCGCTACCGGAGATTGTAGCTGGGCTGTGAGACGGGGCAATGTCTCACTGTACTGGGAAGAGTCCAGTGACTCAGAATGGGGATCCAGGAGGCAGCAGCCTAAAGCCAGAGCACATGGCATGCAACGGCCTAGAGTTAGCTAGCATGTAACAGCTACTTGATGACTTTACTGTGTAAGGTTCTTTGCAGACAGAATCCAAACAATATGTTTTACACCTTTATACTCTTGGTTTTTAGACTTGATGAGAGAGGGAATTGGAAATTTTGGTGGCTTTTTACACTCTCCACCTTCTACCATAGGCTAGAAGCTAGGACTGCTGCAGGACTAGGTAGGGGATAGGTACCACAGTTTTAAGTCCATATTTTTGTTTGTTTTTTAAACAAATGAGGTAAATTAAAAGAAAAGACTCAAAGCGGTGCTGGAAAGCCAGGCTTACCTCTAGAAAGGCCTTGTGGAAAGCATCCGACACATGCAGGTCTGTACGGCTGTCTGCAACTATACCTAGAAACCAACAAGCCGGGAACAGAGAGAGAGTTTAAGAGCTACCTTGAGAAGACAGCATCCCAAGAACCAAAGCATTTTACTTGTGCAGCTTAAGGTGATCAAGGCAGAAGGCAAGAACAATGAGGGAAGGGCAAATGAGACAAGGACGAAGCTCAAACGGGGTTTAGAAAGAAATTCTGCCCTGCAGTGGTCTCCACAGGACTCCAGCTGACTTCAGTGGAATCCGTGAATATCTGTACCTGAGTGTGGGATTTGGCAGATAAGTTCAGATAAGTTCAGTGCTGGTAGAAGGTACCAACCTGCTGACCTACCTTGGAGACTGATCTTTTGCTACACATTCGACCCTGACCTGGAGACCCCCTCCTAAGCCCTACCCCTTGGGCAAGAGGGGACTTTGCTCCCCGTGACCCTTCAGCCAATTTAGGCCTCTGTACAGAGTCTACCGGTTAAGCCCTGAGTAGCAGTGAGACCACTCACACTTCTAGCAACCCTTAAAAGTATTTTTGCGCACTCCTTTACCCCCAAATCTGAGGCAACATCTGCTTTGTTTAATATCTCTGTCCCTGTTCTTGGAGAGAACCCCAACCACCCACCCCACCTGGACTGACCTGGCAGCTTGGCTGCTTTTTGTCTGAAAAGATCAAGCAGCCCCATCTTCTGCAGATTCTCCTTCAGGCTGAAGCTGTCTTCAATGCGGAAGCGGGGGAGGTAGACAGAAAGCGAGATCTCTTTCATTGAACCCAGCCATTCCTGCAGCTTCTCTGAAGTCAGTTCCCGCACCACATCCAACAGCAGCATGTCCCTGGCAGGCAGGATGAGCACCATGGTGATGTCGTCGCCTTTGTAAGGCAGCTCTAAGATGTGCACTTGATCGTTTTGGACTAGAGCGTAACGGAATTTGGTTTCTTGGTACATCATGGGGACCTGGCAAGTCTCACCATCCACTTTATAGAACGTTTCTAGTTTTGTGTTGTGAACAGGAAACTTTGATTTCCAGTGTCCCTGTGGGACCAAGACAAAGACAGATACAGCAGTCAGCTCCACACAGACTCAAGAACCACAGCCTGAAGGCAGCACACAGGCTGTACTAACCCCACTCTAAACTGCATCTGCTCTCCCCCATCTACAAAGTGACTGTCGATTTAGCTTTGCCACATCTCTGCAAGGTGAGTTTGATAAACCAAGGCACAAGCAGGCTACATGGCTTAGCTCCTCCTCAGCACTGGGTAAGGAACCCATGACTTCTGTTTCTCAGAACGTCTATTTCCCTGAATGGGGCTCCTAAATCTCTGGTTTCCTCCTGAAGCTGTAATCATTTATCAAAACACCTTGGCTTGTCACCAGTTTTGCTGTTTCTTGCCTCCTTGCCTTTGTCCCACCCAGCCTGGCAATGTGATCAGACGAGTCAGTTCTAACCTGTCGAGGAGCTAGACCCAGCACTATGGAATTTGGAGACAAATTCACATTTCAGAACCTTGCTGTAATTCGGGGTATTTGAATCTGGGATTCTGGCTTCATTGTAGAAGTAGGGTCCAAGCAGGGAATTCCCATCTGGACTCCAGGCTTTGATCCTTCCCAAGGCACTGAGGTGAGGGCTGGGCAGATGCAGGTTTGATATGCATCTACCTCTAGGATTCAGAGATTCAGTTTCAACTTTTCTGGACCAGGGTTGATGTGTTTGAGTTTTTGCTACTGCCCATGATTGAGGACTTTGATTTCTATACAAGTTATTGCAGGCTGACAGCTCTGAGAAGCTGCTCCATTTCTTAGAGCTTCAGGGTGTTTGGCTTGGGAGAATGATTTCTGTCCTGACTTCTTGTCATCCCTCAAAACCCTGGATACACTGCACTCCAAGTCCCCAAGGAACCAGTCTCTCCCCAGTTTCATTTGCCATACCTTAAAGTAAATTGTATTGACCAGAACTAGGACAGTGTTTTCATCAATGACTCCTTGTGGGATCACTTCTTTAATGCGTTCTTCTGTTTTATTAGCGACCCAGTCATTAATGATAGTCCTGGATTGCTCTGGTTGTTCCTGGAGATACAGACAAGAAAATAAATGGGGGATTTTCAGGTCAGTCCAAAGAAATCAGGGAGAGATATAAAAATGCCAATGGCACAAAAGAATGGAGAAAGAAAGAAGTCAAAGTAATTCTAACTCACTTTGAAATTCAAGGGCCGAAGTTTGGCTCCATAAACCACCTCACTGATGTTTTGGTAGGTCTCATTGAAGACCAAGGATTTTTCCCCAAAGAGGCGGTTGGCAGATATCAGCTCAGAGGATTTGTTGGCTTTCTTATATAGACGGCAGTTCAGCTTAGCGAAGAAGAAGTGGATCTGGTCAGATGTCTTCTCTGTAATGGTGTCAAACTGAAAAACCTAGAGAAGCGAAAACAGAGAGAATGAATCCTAACCCAGGCTCCCCATTTCCTGTAGCAGTGGCAGAGGGGTTCTGCTCATCAGCTTTATAGACAGAGGGTTATAATGCTGCTCACTCAGGACTATATGGAAGTGGCCACTTTGCTGGCACTCTTGGTTTGTTTTTCCCTGTAGAACCAAACAGGCCTGACCATCAGGCAGGGTTGGCAACCAAACAATTTTTTTTACTGACATCCAAAAACTTTTTACTGACAACAAAACACTTTCATTTGCATGCATTTTTACTGTCAGTGAAAAAAAAAACCACAACTTTTGGATTGACAGCCCTGTGTGACTGCAACAGTGGTTTTATATCATGCTGCTCCTCCCACATTGATCTCCTATTCACCCCCATACCCTGACTGCCCTCCCCTGCCTTACCCCCACTGGCCCTGCTCCTTGGCACAGACCCTCACCCCCTATGTCTCCCTTGCTCCCTGCCCCACAGCTCCATCCATGTCCTGCTCAGCTCAGAGATATCAGTGACAGTACATGCTAGTGAAAAGGGAAAAGGAGCTATGGAGGCTCTAGTGGGCCAGAAAATCCTGACACTCACTTTGCTGTAGGGCTCCAAGCTGGGCTCCCATTTAAACAACAAGTAGCACTGCTCTGCTCTCTCTGTCCAGCATCAGCATTTGTATTTATTTGGCTCCATTTTGACATATCTTGAAGTGAGCTCAGTGTTTCTGTTTTTTATGGATGGCTTAATTTTTGTTATGGACATCACAGACAGGCATTTTTAGCTTGCATTTTTTAGACCGTCCATAAATTTACAAACAGTTGGCAACCCTGTCACCAGGGCAGAATGCTTAAAATTTGCTGCAATTAAAAATAGCATGAGCATCCTTTGCAGCAAGGCCTGTCTCACTGGGGGAAGAAGCACAGCTAGGCTGAGCCCAGGCTTTGAAGAGTCCAGGACAAACAATAATGGACATAGCCAAGAAGCTGCTGCTCTTCTTTCACCTCCTATCCTTCAGAGCTCTTTAATACTCTGACCCCCTCTCCTTTTCCATACTCAATGCCCTACCTGTCCCCACCTTGATTGTTTCTTTCCATGGTCCAATTACTACCTTTCTTTTCAAGCCATAAATTATAACAAGAGGGGCCCTGGTCTTTTTGCTTGCCAGGCTCCCATCCCTCTCCTTTCAGAAAGCACATAAAGTTGCCATGGTCTGTGGTTGGATCTGGATTCTACTCCAGCTTCTGCCACTGACCAGACAGGGAACCGTCAACAAGTCCCTTCCCCTCTCTTTCCCTTCCCACTCAACCAGAGTGAAATGTAAGTTCTCTGGGCTAGGCAGTACCTCACTTTGCATTTGTATAGTGCCTAGCACAAGAAGGCCCTAACCCTGACTGGAGCCTCTAGGAATTACTACAGTACACATAAACACTTAAAAGCTCTGTGCAGAACTCCTGAAGGCAACAGAATACTTCCTGGTTTTATTGTATTTTGACGCACACTTTCAGATCATTTCTACATCATGCATGGATTCTGGTTCATCATGTGTTGTCTATGATACGGTGCTGCGAATGTTATGGCACTGTTTGAACAGAGTTAATGTTTTATGGTACCAATCACACACTTTCTAGCATCCCAACCAGGGTCACACAATATGTTGCTGACAAGTTGCTAAACATGGGCCTCTCAGCAACTCCCTACAGTGAGAGAACCTACAATATTAGCTGTAAACAATGTTGTACATGTATAGGTCTGGAAACCCCAGACTTAAGTAAGAGATCTCCTCCCATCAGATAAATCTGGTACATACTGTAGACACTTGCAAGCAGTAGCCACTTTGAAAAAAAAGATGAAGTCATTGCTTTTAAATTCATTTTCTGTAGCACACTGATTCTCATCTATTTGTGGCTGCCAGGTAGGATGGCATATACTGATTTGTCATTGGACATGCCAATATGAACAGAAAGTTGCTGCATATTTTTCTACCAATCCTTTACAGACACAAACTAGTTAATCTGCACAACCCATCTCCAAGGTTATGGAGCTGTTTTTACAAGAGGAAAAGTTAACATAGGGGCCTGATCCCATTTCTTTGAAGACTCCTCTTGATGACCTCAGTAGAAACAAAGTTGACTTCTATGGAGGGGGATGCTCCAGTGGTTAGGACATGAGATATTAAAGACTTGTCTATACAGGAAATGTTTCCAGTTATACCAGTCTAATTATTGACTGGTTTAACACCCTATGTGGGTACCCTCATTCCAGAACTAGATTGTCTGTTTGGGGATCTAGGCTGGTTTAAGATATACCAGGGCATAAGTTTTTCCATATAGGCAAGCCTTCAAGGCCAAAAACTATTCCACCTCCATGTACGTAAGTGCTATTTACAGAACCTAATGTAGTTGCATATGTGGCATTTGGGGCACTTTTGTAGATTTTAGATCTCATTTCCAGCTATGCAGCAATACTTGCACCTGTGAGAGATCTCAGAAAATTCTGCTATGGCCATGAATACCCTGCTGAGGAACAGCATTGCCCAGGTAGATGCACATGCCCATGTAAGTCCTCAGGTGCAGCTGGAGGAAAACCTGTGATTAGCAATTCTTTGATGCAAGAGGAGGAGGAGTAGAAGAGCCCTCCCTACTTTCTAACCCAACAGCCTAGTGTTTAGGGAACTTGGCCAAGGAACACAAGACCTTGGTTCTGACCTAGAGGAGCCTTCAACTTGTCTCTCATTTCCCAGCAAAACCTTCAGGCCATAGGGTAGGGTTAGGCATTGTCCAGACCACTCCCCAGTCCTCTTTTTGAAGCTGGCCCAGTGAGCAGCAAAAAGACAGCAAGATAGAGGGAAGATGGCTCAGGGAGATGGATGCTGCCCTTGAAGACAGGGAGCCTCAGGTTATAGCTTGGGTCTCTGCTCCAGATGGCTTTTCTACATTAATAGCCAGTGGATACAATGGACAGAGAGCAGCAAGACCACTTTTGTCCCACTGGCAGCATGGCCGGAGTGAAATAGGATTGACCTAATTTCTTCATCTCTAAAACAGAAATGACAGCAATGCCTCACCTTGGAGGAGTGTTGTGGAGAATAAGTCATTAAGGACCAAGAGGCACTCAGGTTTTGCAGTTACAGGGGCCAGACAAGTACTTGAGACAGACTCCCCTAGAGAGGAAGCAGGTGTCCACACCAGGGTAAGGATTCTGGAATTTCTCTCTCATCACCGTGCTCAGAGCTCACTTCTAACTGAATAAGTCATGCAGTGACAGGCACAACAGCACAAGAAAAGCATCTGGAATGAACACCAAATCGCAGTTCATGTTCTAACCAGCCGCCAACACCATAACAGAAGGCTTTGATTTCTGGAGCTGTTCTCTTGCTACAGCCTATGTGGTCAACTGCTTATAAGGCTCAAGCCTGTCCCTTTATTTCTGTTTATCACAACATGCAAAGTGACACTGGCCATTTCTGTTCTTGCCTGCCCTCCTCCTACTTTGCTCTTATCTGTAGATTTTATGCCTTCTGTATGGAAACCTACTGAAAACTAACTTCACAGGTTAGGAAACCGGATCTTCCAAAGCTATGGATCACTAGGTCCTTTGCATAAAATTCCCCTTTAGTAACAATACTATGGTCTATAAAAAAACTTATCATTTGAGCTACACTGGGTTTAAAAAATAAACCAAATAAAGTTTAGTTTCTTCTAAAGGAAATCATATACCACTGGAAGGTATCACAGATGCAGCCTTCTGAACCAAAAGTCCCCTGTCTAGCCACACAGCAGGAAGCAGTGGGGGAAGCTTCTTTGCCAGCATGCCTCAACCCTGATCTGAAGGATCAGATCCAGGTGCAAAAGGGCAGCTCAGTCTCCATGTTCCACTTGGTCCTTGGCCCCTATGAAGGGACAGCTAACAAAGGAAGGAATCATGCAGGTAACTGGATGCTGATGCCAGGACACTAGGCTAAAAGCAGGCTCTTTTCACACAGAGGGATGACTACCTCCTGTGGAGCTGGCTCTAAGAGGAGGCGCAACACACTTTTTGTTGTTGCTACTAATCAGGTTTCCAACAAAGCAGGACAGTGAGCGTGTGTTGCCAGCCCATTCCATGTAGTGATGGCTTGTGTGTACATGCTCATAAAGGGCTTAGTACAGCAGCACTGGCATCAGTGGGAGTTACACTGTTAAAGTCAGTGGGATTATTACAGGCAAGTAAGCAGAAAAGTCACATGGTGGCTAGTACAGCAAGGATTGGTAGGATAGACAAGGCTTGTGATAACTGGACTACATGTCTCCCCATTGTTGCAAAGTCCTGGAGGTCAGGGGGTGAGCCTCCTGCTAAGAATGACCAGTGCTGTTAATTTATTGATGGGGCTTTTGTCTAAACAAAAAGTTCAGCCTGGGGTCCCTGTTCCATCCCTTCCTCCTCATCCCATGCAAACCAGGGGCTGCTGCATTGTTCCAGCTGCATTTTTGCACTTATTTCAATAGGAACATCCCACACTTGGACTTCTGCATAAGGATGGTGGATATAGGGGGCCTTTAGCACAAACCCCACTCCAAGGTCTGATTGGTTTCCCTCAGCTTCCTGTGTAGAGGCCTGTCCCTGCTCATCTACCTGCCTAGGTCCAGAAGAAAAAAACTATTCACCTTCCTTCCTCACATCCAAAGCAGGTTTCTTCTCCTCCAGATAGAGGCTATAACCTATGTGTCAGCATGTGCACCAGGAGAATCTACTTGGATCACTGGAGAAGGGTTTGGACTACAGAAACCCAGAGGAAAGTAGTCTGGGTCATCTTCCAGAAGGGTCCTAGTCATAGACCTGTTTAGCAGAAGGGTCTGTCTCTCAAAAGCTGGGGTTACAAAGGAAGTGATTTGAGCACAGGAGCCATTAAAAGAGAGAGCTTTAATATAAGCAGCTAGCATTTGGCACCTTTGTTCTAACTTAAACCACAAGGACTTGGAAACTGAGGAGATGCCACTGACCTCCATAAGCTGCTTTAGAGTGTCACCACAGGCACCGAGCTTGGTCATGGCAAAGGCTGTGGAGATACTGAGGGGTGACATGAAGATGTTTGCCAGGTCACTCTTGGAGTCCGCCATGTACTTGTAGAAGGTAATGGCAAAGCGGGAGTTGGCCTTTGACAACTCCCAGACCCGACGGTTAGTAAATTCAGGGATCTTATCCTTGGCTTGATCTGCCTCTGGCCCCTCGCCCTCCTGTGGTTTCTTCTCAGGGTTACGGTAAATGCAAATAGGATTCACAGGAATGTCTTTTGGCTTTGCAGTACAGATGTCTTCCACTGGATGTTGCTGGGGGGCAACTGCCCCCCACATACTGATGATCAACACCACAAAGAGATGCATCCTCCTGAAACCAGAAAGAAATGTTACAATCCAGGTGGAAGCCCTGCTCTGGAAGCCATCACTCTGAGTGGGCTCCTCAGTATCACATCCTCTCGTTTCATTCTTCCCTACAGGTTAGGTTATGGAGTAAGGTAATCCATGTCACGGATGCTATCCTGGTTTGGGCTTTCCAAATGCTGGAAATGGGACTGATTG